TTGCTCCCCTGGTAACTTGCGTCGCCACACCTGCAATATCAACCACAAGTTAGCTTGCTGAAGCTAAATTAAGAGGAATATCTGCTAAATTAAGACGTATTCCTGCTAGATTAAGAGGCATTTCTGCTAGATTAAGAGGCATTCCTGCTAAATTAAGAGGTGTTCTTGCTAAATTACGAGATATTCCTGCTAAATTAAAAGGTATTCTTGCTAAATTACGAGACATTCCTGCTAAATTAAGAGGTATTCTTGCTAAATTACGAGACATTCCTGCTAAATTAAGAGGTATTCTTGATAAATTAAGAGATATTCCTCCTAAATTAAGAGGTATTCTTGATAAATTAAGAGATATTCCTCCTAAATTAAGAGGTATTCCTGATAAATTAGGAAATATTCCTACTTGAAAAATCCAAATATAACTGTAGCTGAGGTACGATATATCTCAGTTCAATTTCTCTGAAGAGTCAATATCTCATTTGCACTGAGAAGTATCCTCAGTGTATGTACACTGCAGAATACACTTCTGAGTTTATATACGCTAAGAATATACACTCAGGAGTACACGTCAGAGTAAATACTCTGGTGTGTGTGTGTGTGTGTGTGTGTGTGTGTGTGTGTGTGTGTGTGTGTGTGTGTGTGTGTGTGTGTGTGTGTGTGTGTGTGTGTGTGTGTTTGTGTGTGTACACTGAGAGCATAACTTAGCCTTCACCACGGTGAGGTAAAACTGACCTTCACTCAACTGACCTTCACTCAACTGACCTTCACTCAACTGACCTTCACTCAACTGACCTTCACTCAACTGACCACGAATGACTAACAACTGGTCTTGATTGATTTTGACCCGGGGAAGATTGAGGTCTATTGTCCTCTCCTATAACTCCTCTATTGTCCAGCCTTTTCCAAGACAATAGAGATGTTAGAGTTGCGGACAATAAAACGTAATGTTACTGACTCCTTACTTCTGTTATATATATATATTTATATATATTATATATATATATATAATATATATATATATATATATATTTTATATATATATATATAATGAGAGAGTGGGTGAGATGTTATCAACAAATTTTGTTGAAAATAAGAAAAAGTTTTGGAGTGAGATTAACAAGTTAAGAAGCCTAGAGAACAAATGGATTTGTCATTAAAAATAGGAGAGGAGAGTTATTAAATGGGAGTTTGAGGTATTGGGAAGAATGGGAAAGGGAAATTTTGAGGAATTGTTAAATGTTGATGAAGATAGGGAAGCTGTGATTTTTTGTGTATAGGGCAAGGAGGAATAACATCTTGTAGGAGTGAGGAAGAGTGTTGGAGTGGGGGGGAAGTTCGTGAGGCAGTAGGTAAAAAAGAAAGGGGTAAGGCAGCCGGGATTGATGGGATAAAGATAGAAATGTTAAAAGCGGTGGGGATATAGTTTTGGAGTGGTTGGTGCAATTATTTAATAAATGTATGGAAGAGGGAAGGTACCTAGGTTTGGCAGAGAGCATACCTGGAGTTTACCTGGAGAGAGTAAACTCCAGGTATGCTCTCTGCCAATCCCTAGGTACCTTACCCTCTTCCATACATTTTTAAATAATTGCACCAACCACCCCAAAACTATATCCCCACCTGCTTTTAACATTTCTATCTTTATCCCATCAATCCCGGCTGCCTTACCCCCTTTCATAGTTCCTTGCATAGTTCCTTTGTATAAAGGCAAAGGGGATAAAAGAGAGTGCAAAAATTATAGGGGGATAAGTCTGTTGAGTGTACCTGGTAAAGTGTATGGTAGAGTTATAATTGAAAGAATTAAGAGTAAGACGGAGAATAGGATAGCAGATGAACAAGGAGGCTTTAGGAAAGGTAGGGGGTGTGTGGACCAGGTGTTTACAGTGAAACATATAAGTGAACAGTATTTAGATAAGGCTAAAGAGGTCTTTGTGGCATTTATGGATTTGGAAAAGGCGTATGACAGGGTGGATAGGGGGGCAATGTGGCAGATGTTGCAAGTGTATGGTGTAGGAGGTAGGTTACTGAAAGCAGTGAAGAGTTTTTTACGAGGATAGTGAGCTCAAGTTAGAGTATGTAGGAAAGAGGGGAATTTTTTCCCAGTAAAAGTAGGCCTTAGACAAGATGTGTGATGTCACCGTGGTTGTTTAATATATTTATAGATGGGGTTGTAAGAGAAGTAAATGCGAGGGTCTTGGCAAGAGGCGTGGAGTTAAAAGATAAAGAATCACACACAAAGTGGGAGTTTGTCACAGCTGCTCTTTGCTGATGACACTGTGCTCTTGGGAGATTCTGAAGAGAAGTTGCAGAGATTGGTGGATGAATTTGGTAGGGTGTGCAAAAGAAGAAAATTAAAGGTGAATACAGGAAAGAGTAAGGTTATGAGGATAACAAAAAGATTAGGTGATGAAAGATTGAATATCAGATTGGAGGGAGAGAGTATGGAGGAGGTGAACGTATTCAGATATTTGGGAGTGGACGTGTCAGCGGATGGGTCTATGAAAGAGAGGTGAATCATAGAATTGATGAGGGAAAAAGAGTGAGTGGTGCACTTAGGAGTCTGTGGAGACAAAGAACTTTGTCCTTGGAGGCAAAGAGGGGAATGTATGAGAGTATAGTTTTACCAACGCTCTTATATGGGTGTGAAGCGTGGGTGATGAATGTTGCAGCGAGGAGAAGGCTGGAGGCAGTGGAGATGTCATGTCTGAGGGCAATGTGTGGTGTGAATATAATGCAGAGAATTCGTAGTTTGGAAGTTAGGAGGAGGTGCGGGATTACCAAAACTGTTGTCCAGAGGGCTGAGGAAGGGTTGTTGAGGTGGTTCGGACATGTAGAGAGAATGGAGCGAAACAGAATGACTTCAAGAGTGTATCGTCTGTAGTGGAAGGAAGGCGGGGTAGGGGTCGGCCTAGGAAGGGTTGGAGGGAGGGGGTTAAAGGAGGTTTTGTGTGCGAGGGGCTTGGACTTCCAGCAGGCATGCGTGAGCGTGTTGATAGGAGTGAATGGAGACAATGGTTTTTAATACTTGACGTGCTGTTGGAGTGTGAGCAAAGTAACATTTATGAAGGGATTCAGGGAAACCGGCAGGCCGGACTTGAGTCCTGGAGATGGGAAGTACAGTGCCTGCACTCTGAAGGAGGGGTGTTTAATGTTGCAGTTTAAAAACTGTAGTGTAAAGCACCCTTCTGGCAAGACAGTGATGGAGTGAATGATGGTGAAAGTTTTTTCTTTTTCGGGCCACCCTGCCTTGGTGGGAATCGGCCGGTGTGATAATAAAAAAAATAATATATATATATATATATATATATATATATATATATATATATATATCTATATATATATATATATATATATATATATATATATATATATATATATATATATATATATATACATGTATATATATATTATATATATTATATATATATATATATATATATATATATATATAAAATATATATATATAATTATATATATACATACATACATGTGAACATTTATTTTAAAAAACAGAATACATTTACAAAAACACAAACTGAATAAATGGTAAAATGTATTAAATATTATGAATTTCCCCCAGCTCCTCCGAAGCCGGGCGCGAGCCAATTATGCAGCAAGATTTCCCTTGGTGGCCACGCTGAGGGCTGGAACATGAAAAGGGGTTTCCCTTGGGGCCCTGGTGGGTCGAGAGTCTAACCCAATTCTTAAGGAAAAGTGTGGGATTTTTCCCCCTTATCCCGAGGTCTTTCCCCCCCGGGAAAAAGTACGTTGGGTTTGTCCCTGTACTTGCTGTTTGTACTCCTCCCTTTGGGTTCCCCTCCCCTCGCCGACACGTGATGATATAGGTGTCAGGCCCGGGGGGACCAGGTATAGTCCATGCTAAGAGCTTGCCATTCTTCCAAGGATAGATGGTGATCCCCTCGGGGCGGTTTTTCTGGGGGGGGGTATTGTTGGGCTGCTAGTGATCGGGGCTCCCTCTCGGCTGGGCATCCAGCTGTAGCAAGGGTTCTCTTTATGATGTTGTTGATCTAATTGTGTCTTGCATGCCAGCCCTTGGTTTTGGAACAGGTAAGACCATGTAGACCGTATTGGTCTGCTTGCACTTCGCCGCAAATACACATATATTCTGTGTGAATTGGGGCAGCAAGGCGCAGAGCCACTGCATTACGGAGGGTCTTAGGGTCGAGTCGCGTTCCCATTGCCAATGTGGGAACTGTTTGGAGGAAGTCCCCGGAGTGAGGCGCGCTCACAGCCTGGAGACAGGGGAGTCCTCCCTATCTGTGTTGCAGCCCTGAGCATGCTGGCAAGCACCTTTTCAGCGACCGAGCCATCCCAGCTTGACTGTTTGTGGAGCCAGTGCTCCAATATATATATATATATATATAATATAAAATAAAATATATATATATATAATATATATAATATATATATATATTATTATAATATATATATATATATATATATATATAATTTATTAATAAAGAAAAAGATGAATTACAGATACACAGGAGCACCATTTTTATTAAATAAATAAAAAGGCTAATTTACGTTAACTATTTATATGTATTTATGAAAATTTTAATAAAAAATGACAGACTGTTTTAATTTTTTTTTTATAAGACTGATGACAAATATTATTGAATATTTGGTGGGATAGATTTTACGTGAATTAAATAATTCTCGCTTTACGTGACACTTATTGGTCGGCCAGCCAGTTGGCTGGGAAGCCAAATAGTTGGACAATCAGTTGGCTGAACAATTACAGCAGTTGGCTGAACAGCCAGCTGGACCGCTATCCGGTTGGCTGGACAGCCAGCTTATTAATCAACACGGTGGCTAAACAGCCATGTGGCTGATTAGCCAGGTGGCTTATGGGTTACCTTGCGCCAAATTAAAACGTAGCAGACAGAGATGAGAGTGAGAGGCAGCAGGTAGCACATGACCAGGTTGGCCACCACGAAGTACAAGTTACCACTCTGTTCATCTGGCCACTTGTCGGTACACACCTGTAATGTCGTAAACACAGCTGTAAATCGGAGGGCACAGGTGTAAACTCATTTACAAGGGTGTAAATGACGGAATTAAAAACAAAGCGTGATTAAAATGCATTCATATACACCAAACCTCCCTCACTCAGTCCCTTCTTCTCTCCAGAGTGATAAGGAGTACATGGGAGTACATGGGAGTACATGGGAGTACATGAGGAAAGACAGGTAACAGAGGCCTTGGCAGTCCACCCCGAGTCTGTCTGCCGAGAACTGTCTATTTCTATCTAGAATAAGAACCATCATCTATTGTCTAGCTGTGTGAATCGAGGATTATAAAGCAGATTTACCTCTTCAGCAGAGCAAAAACACATTTAGAACAGAGCTAAGCTCTATTACATAGAGCATAGAGTTTATACACACTAAGTGACATACATATCCCGGTGTATATAATCTGCATAGTACTGAATAATATACTTTAATTAATATATAGTTATAGATTTTAGATTATTATTATTATTATTGTTATTATTGTTATCCTTATAGTTTTTGTTGTTATTGTTCTAATAATTATTATTACTATCATTATTATTATTACTCTTTTCTCTACCCAGATAACCAATTAACCTCGTGTTTACCGTCAACTTAATAAATATATAAAAAACTGAGACACTAACTTTTAGAGAAAACTTTAATAGATTTTCAAAATCTCATTTTAAAGATTATTTTTTTTTGCAAAAATAAACCCATAATAAAAATATAACGCACTCTAATTCTATTTTTAGATTAATTTGAATATATTATATATATATATATATATATTATATATATATATATATATATATATATTATATATATATATATATAATATATTATACATATATATATATATAATATATATATATATATATATATATATATATATATATATATATATATTATATATATATATATATATATATATAAGGTAGAAGACAGGGACAGAAAGGGTGTAAGGGAGGGAAGGGGATAAGGGAGAGAATAAAGCAGGGAGGAAGGGGGAAAAAGGAAGCAAGACTTGTATGGTCCCAAATTTACACAAAATCTTTGGGAGAGAAAAAAGTGTGTGAGTAATTTTGAAGCCAATGTGTTTTAATGGATGTTGACAGTACCACTGTAGGCGGGTGAGGGAGGGAGTGTCAGGGAGGGAGTGTCAGGGAGGGAGTGTCAGGCAGACTCCCTAGACTGTGATATAGCCTGACGATTTACACTTCTAACTTGCCTCAGAGAGAGTATTTTTTCCCTCTAATGTTTGTTGCTAACCTTGCAACATTGCATAGCTCCTGACGACGCACACACTGCGAAAGATCTTCAGCTAAATATTTCCATCCCCATGTGGCTTGTTGTGTGTGTGTGTGTGTGTGTGTGTGTGTGTGTGTGTGTGTGTGTGTGTGTGTGTGTACTCACCTATTTGTTTGTACTCACCTATTTGTGGTTGCAGGGGTCGAGTCACAGCTCCTGGCCCCGCCTCTTCGCTGATTGCTACTAGGTCCTCTCTCTCCCTGCCCCATGAGCTCTATCATACCTCGCCTTAAAACTATGTATGGTTCCTGCCTCCACCACATCACTTTCTAGGCTATTCCATGGCCTGACTACTCTATGACTGAAGAAATACTTCCTAACATCGTACTCACCTATTTGTACTCACCTATTTGTGGTTGCAGGGGTCGAGTCCTAGCTCCTGGCCCCGCCTCTTCACCGGTTGCTACTAGACCCTCTCTCTCCCCGCTCCATGAGCTTTATCAAACCTCGTCTTAAAACTGTGTATGGTTCTGCCTCCACTACGTCATTTTCTAGGCTATTCCACTGCCTTACAACTCTATGACTGAAGAAATACTTCCTACTATCTCTCTGACTCATTTGTGTCTTCAACTTCCAATTGTGGCCTCTTGTTTCTGTGTCCCCTCCCTGGAACATCCTGTCCTTGTCCACCTTGTCTATTCCACGCAGTATTTTATATGTCGTTATCATGTCTCCCCTGACCCTCCTGTCCTCCAGTGTCGTCAGGCCGATTTCCCTTAATCTTTCTTCATAGGACATTCCCCTTAGCTCTGGAACTAACCTTGTCGCAAACCTTTGTACTTTCTCTAGTTTCTTGACGTGCTTTATCAAGTGCGGGTTCCAAACAGGTGCTGCATACTCCAGTATGGGCCTGACATACACGGTGTACAGTGTCTTGAATGATTCCTTACTAAGGTGTCGGAATGCTGTTCTCAGGTTTGCCAGGCGCCCATATGCTGCAGCAGTTATCTGATTGATGTGTGCTTCCGGAGACATGCTCGGTGTTATACTCACCCCAAGATATTTCTCCTTGAGTGAGGTTTGCAGTCTTTGGCCACCTAGCCTATACTCTGTCTGTGGTCTTCTGTGCCCTTCCCCTATCTTCATGACTTTGCATTTGGCAGGATTAAATTCGAGAAGCCATTTGCTGGACCAGGTGTCCAGTCTGTCCAGGTCTCTTTGAAGTCCTGCCTGGTCCTCATCAGATTTAATTCTCCTCATTAACTTCACATCATCTGCAAACAGGGACACTTCTGAGTCTAACCCTTCCGTCATGTCGTTCACATATACCAAAAATAGCACTGGTCCTAGGACCGACCCCTGTGGGACCCCGCTCGTCACAGGTGCCCACTGTGATACATCATTACGTACCATGACTCGTTGTTGCCTCCCTGTCAGGTATTCTCTGATCCATTGCAGTGCCCTTCCTGTTATATGCGCCTGATGCTCTAGCTTCTGCACTAATCTCTTGTGAGGAACTGTGTCAAAGGCCTTCTTGCAGTCCAAGAAGATGCAATCAACCCATCGTGTGTGTGTGTGTGTGTGTGTGTGTGTGTGTGTGTGTGTGTGTGTGTGTGTGTGTGTGTGTGTGTGTGTGTGTGTGTGTGTGTGTGTGTGTGTGTGTGTGTGTGTGTGTGTGTGTGTCTGAGTGTCAGAACTCAAATTAAGCTACAGTAAACAACTGTCAATGAATATATATATTTTCAGGTTAAAATTAAAATGCCACATTACGATCCTCACTTAAAAACATGATAAGGAAACACGTTCAGAATCGCTGTTAATCACTTATCAGACCATAATAAAAGAATCAACAGCCAAAAAAAAAAAAGTGTATCTGCATGCGCAGTAATAAAGGGATTCAGAGCCGACCTTGCTGGCAGCCGAGACACCTTGTCATTGTTCTGATCCCTCTCCCCTTCCCCTGTTTGTAGCATTCAATGCTTCCCTCGTGAGTTTAATAATTACTGATTATAAACTATCAGGTCTGACACTGAGGAAGTGTCGAGGATACTGAAGATAGTCGCAGTGTAGAGCCGAGATACGTAGTACCACTTTCAACTCTGTGTTGAGTTAGTTCACTTGTTGGTGGCAGATGTTTGTGTCCCGTGTTTGTCCCACTACCGTGTTTATCCCACTACCGTGCTTGTCCCACTACCGTGTTTCTCCCACTACCGTGTTTGTCCCACTACCGTGTTTGTCCCACTACCGTGTTTATCCCACTACCGTGTTTGTCCCACTACCGTGTTTCTCCCACTACCGTGTTTGTCCCACTACCGTGTTTGTCCCACTACCGTGTTTGTCCCACTACCGTGTTTATCCCACTACCGTGTTTGTCCCACTACCGTGTTTGTCCCACTACCGTGTTTGTCTCCCGTGTTTGTCCCACTACCGTGTTTGTCTCCCGTGTTTGTCCCACTACCGTGTTTGTCTCCCGTGTTTGTCCCACTACCGTGTTTGTCTCCCGTGTTTGTCCCACTACCGTGTTTGCCTCCCGTGTTTGTCCCACTACCGTGTTTTTCTCCCGTGTTTGTCCCACTACCGTGTTTTTCTCCCGTGTTTGTCCCACTACTGTGTTTGTCTCCCGTGTTTGTCCCACTACCGCGTTTGTCCCACTACCGTGTTTGTCTCCCGTGTTTATCCCACTACCGTGTTTGTCTACCGTATTTGTCCCACTACCGTGTTTGTCTCCCGTGTTTGTCCCACTACCGTGTTTGTCTCCCGTGTTTGTCCCACTACCGTGTTTGTCTCCCGTGTTTGTCCCAATACCGTGTTTGTCTCCCGTGTTTGTCCCACTACCGTGTTTGTCTCTCGTGTTTGTCCCACTACCGTGTTTGTCTCCTGTGTTTCTCCCACTACCGTGTTTGTCTTCCGTGTTTCTCCCACTGCCGTGTTTGTCTCCCGTGTTTGCCCCACTACCGTGTTTGTCTCCCGTGTTTGCCCCACTACCGTGTTTGTCTCCAGTGTTTGTCCCACTACCGTGTTTGTTTCCCGTGTTTGCCCCACTGCCGTGTTTGTCTCCCTTGTTTGTCCCACTACCCTGTTTGTCTCCCCTGTTTGTCTCACTACCGCGTTTGCCTCCTGTGTTTGTCCCACTACCGTGTTTGCCTCCCATGTTTGTTCCACTACCGTGTCTGTCTCCCGTGTTTGTCCCACTACAGTGTTTGTCTCCCGTGTTTGTCCCACTACCATGTTTGTCTCCCGTGTTTGTCCCACTACCGTGTTTGTCCTATTAGCGTGTTTGTCCCACTACCGTGTTTGTCCCACTACCGTGTTTGTCTCATTACCGTGTTTGTCTCACTACCATGCTTGTCTCACTACCGTGTTTTTCTCACTCCCGTGTTTGTCTCACTCAAGCGTTTGTCTCACTACCATGCTTGTCTCACGGTAGTGAGACAAACACGGTCCAGGACTGGTCCATCACTGGTCCAGGACTGGTCCATCACTGGTCCAGGACTGGTCCATCACTGGTCCAGGACTGGTCCAGGACTGGTCCAGGACTGGTCCATCACTGGTCCATCACTGGTCCAGGACTTGTCCAGGACTGGTCCAGGACTGGTCCATCACTGGTCCATCACTGGTTCAGGACTGGTCCAGGATTGGTCCATCACTGATTCATGACTGGTCCAGGACTGGTCCATCACTGGTCCAGGACTGGTTCATCACTGGTCCAGGACTGGTTCTGGACTGGTTCTGGACTGGTC